CTGGAGGACCACGAGTCGGGGGGGCCCCCACCAAAAACTAATTTTTTTTATTTTTTTTTAAAAAAACAACCACCAATTAAAAAAAAAAAAAAAAAAAAAAAAAAAAACCAAGCAAAAAACTCAGCAACTTTGTAAGAAACCATGAGGCCTTGTGGGGTTGGATGGACCTGCCTTCTTGATATGAATGAATTCGCAGAAGCATGTGCTTGGTCTGTGCGCATGTGTGTCCTTTTTTAAAAAAAAAAGTTGGTATATAACTTTGCTGTATGTGTGAAGCAGACATTTCTATCTATAGACTACCTCCTTCCTGAAAAAGTCTGAGCTTTGTGTTGGTTTGATTAGCCATAGAATTCTCAGCATCAACAGATGTATTCAGGGAGAGATGCTGGGCCTTCAGCTCATCTTGGTGTGCACCACCAGTCTCACCCTGCTAGGGAAAATGGTGCTGGGCATCAGTAGTCTGAGGCAGGGGAATGAGCAGGCTGTCAGAGTGGGAGATACCTTCTGAGGCATCTGCTTAGCTCAGTGATTGAAGGCGTGAGAGTTGGGGTCTCAGGGTGGTCCTGCGAAGGCCTGGGTTGGAGGGTCTGCCAGTTCCCTTGGATGTCCATTGGTCCCGTGGTGGGTTTGAATCCACATTAGAACTGAGCAGGCTGTGTGCAGCAGCTCAGAGCAGTGCCACATACCCCTGTGTCTGGATCCCTGGGTGGGTTTTCACTTAAACTGTACTTTTACTCGTGCCGGTGTTTTTAAAATACAGAATTAGAATGTCAAGTTTAAGTAATCTTTTAGTGACTTCTCATAGCATTATTGTGTTGTTACAGTCCTGTGTCATAGTCTGTGTGTTTGAAATAGGGTAGAAGTTTCTACTGATTAAAAAAGTATATAATAGAATCTTGAAGCCTTCAAAAGGCCAACACTTCATTGAGTTAAAATATGTTTATTTTCCTTCACATTTTAACAGTTAGAATATAAGTTTTTTCCACTGTGTTTTTTTTTTGTTTTTGTTTTTGTTTTTTTGTTTTTGAGATAGGATTTTTCTGTCACTTAACCTGGCTATGAACTGAATCCCAAATGCTGGCATTTGTATGTGTGCCACCAGGTCTGGCTGTTTCTTCAAATTTGTAGAGAAAGTAAGTCCATGAACTTGTATGGAGTACTGGATTTTTCTTCTTAAACTGGAAAATTCCTTGTGGATTTATATACCATCCTAGAAATCAAAAAAAGGCAGGAGAGGCTGGCAGGTACACCAGAGGCTTGGCGTTCTGGCGTGGTGCCACCTGTTGATAAGAGCTATCTTGGTCTTGCACTGTGTGAATTGCAGTACTTACTGTGTTACTGTGGCCTCTGATTTTAACATTTGGAAAGTCCCCTTGAGCCCCTCAGTGAAATTGCAGAGCAGTCAAATCTTTTGGAACACACACCTTGATCAGGAAAAGTTTTGTTGTTGTTTCTTTTCTTTTCCTTTTTTTTCTTCTAAGACTGGATCTGTAGTTTAGGCTAGCCTGAAACTCTTGGCAGTCATCCTGCCTTGGCATCCCAAGTTCTGAGATTATGAATGTGACCTGCTGTGTTTGGCATAGCGAAAGTTTTTCAACATAGAAATTCGTCTCAAAAATTGATCTGTATTACTTTATTAAAGTGACATGCACATGCTAACATTCAAAATGGGAAGGGTAAGAGTAAGAAATAAATGCTGGGTAGCACTCAGTCCTCAGTCCTGCCTGCATCCCAGAATGTGGCTCCGCACCTAGAAGCAAACACTGTCAACATGGAATTGCTTGATTTCCAAAAAATACAGGTGTGTGTGTGTGTGTGTGTGTGTGTGTGTGTGTGTGTATGTGTGAATATATATGTGGGGGGTGGCAGAGTGAGGCATGGGTGGCAGAGTGAGGTGTGAGATTCTAAAAAAAGCCTTGAGATTCTCTGGGAGCTTTGTCAGTTTTTCAAATTTCCTATTAATTCTTTCTCATGGGGATTCATACCTGAATGCTTTCTAGACTTCCTGCATCTCCGGACAGCCTGTTCCCTTTCATGTCTGTATTACACACAAGTGACATTTTTATTTTTATAGTCTTCTTACAAACTTCTTGTGGCCTTATGTTCTATTTACAAACAGTTTCATAATTATATCAAGTTACTTTACGCTAAAATATATACCAGCTTCAGCTTTCCTGCTCGATTATAAAGGGCTGTCTTTGTTCTGGCTTTCATCTGGGACATTTAAGCATCTGAAGGACTAGTTTACTTGATGGCTTGTTCTGACTGTCACCTGTTTACTACATATATGTCATTTGCCTGTGCCAAAAACTGGGAGTTGTGTCACCATGGCATTCTTTGTCTTAGATAGGTGTAGAGACAAGTCCAAACCAGGAAGACTAAACTGTTGACGCTGACCTCTGTTGTCTGAGGGTTTCTAACATGGATTTGAGTAGCTAAGTGTTCAACACACAGTGCTAGGAAGGAACAGACATGATGTTCCTTCTGGCAGATACTCTTCCAGAGGCTGGCTTCTGTGGCAAGCATTTTGTTAGTCTTCTGGGCCCATTGTTTTCCAAGCTAGGACACCCCATTATTTCTCTTAGGTTATTAGAACTACTTACTGGAGGTGCAGTTTGCATCGTGGAGGGGGATGCTTACGGGTGATGGTGCATCTCACGCTCTGTGGAACTTGTCGCTATCAGAGTCATGTTTTCACCTGTAAACACAGCAGATGTCATCTGTAAGTGCAGCAAGTGCTCCACCTGAAGCTGACAGTGCTTCAAGCTGCTTTGCGTGGCTGAGACAGAATGTGACAAGTAGCCAGCTTGCCAGAGAGAAGCAGTTTCTTAGGTGCTGACAGAGTGGCTTGTGGGAAAGTAGCTGCCTGCTAACATGATTTGACTTACTCCTGTGGTGCTAGGGACAGAACCTGCGGTCTCCTGTGACCACTGCTGGGTTACACCTTTAGCAACACCTCCCCTCATAACTTTAAATGACAGCTTTAAACAGGACATTCCTAGAGATTACAGTCTCTTGAATGTTAAGTATAATGCACACAAGGAAGTTTCATGAAGTTAGCTTGTCCTTGAAGTACTCAGGTTGGAATTGCGCACATTAAGTCCTCCTGAGGTACTGGCCGCACACATCTCGGTGTATATTCTGCCATGTGGACCCACGGTATGTGAATCTTTTTCGGAGGGAGGCACATTCATCCCTTAAAATGACTATTAGTCTATTTGTTCTAAGCCTAAGAAAGAAAACCCATCTGTAGGGTCACGTAAAGACAGTGCCTTGTGCAGTTTTAAAAGCAGATTTATGTGGAATCATAGGCCTTAAAGACAAATTACCAACTTGGTAGGACCCAGTGCTTAGACATACTCCAGTCACCTTATCTTCCTCTCTTCTGTTCACATATTAAGCATAAAGACATCTTGCCTAAAACTCTTCGCATTCTGTTTGCTTTCATATAAAATTGCTTCTGGGTTGTCTGGGAAGTTCCCAGGAGGTGTCTGGTGTATAAGACTCCTGGCTCGTTGGGATAATGCATCCTTTAAACCATATATGCACAGCATTAGCAGAAACCTCAAAGTGGGTCAGGAAGAATGGTCTCATCTTTGCCTTGTTCCCATCTTAGTAAACCCACTGATTCTCCTCCCTGGAGGGATTACGAGCTGTGCTCACATAGCCTGGAATCTTCTTGATAGGCTAAGGGGGAGATGGAGTGCCTGGCAGCTGGTCCAGAGGTTCTGTCAATAGAAGCATTTGCTTTGCCAGCTTCAGGCCTGGGACTGCTGTGAACTGCTATTAAATCACTTGGCACTTTCTTGGCATCTGTATTAGCGCCCTTTGTTTGTCTTTATTTGTTTTTGTTTGTTAGTTTTTGAGACAGGGTCTCACTTTGTAGCTCTGAGAAACCTGCTATGTGGAAGAGGCTGGCCTTGAACACACATAGATCTTCCTGCTTCTATCCCTAAGTACTGGGATTCAAGGTATGCATCACCACGCCCAGCTGTTTTTGTTCTTAAAAACTGGAAGCACTTACTGGTTTTCTTGTTTGATTTCAGCTTTAGGATATTGATGGTCAGGGAAATATGGTTTTCTCATTTCTATTTTTGGGAACTTAGTGTTTGGAGAAGGGAGCATTGAATCACCTGACAAGTCTCCCTTCCAGCAGGCTCTGTGAAGCAGCCTCTTGGAGCTAGGATGTAAATGGCTCAAGATCTCTTACTAGTGTGCTTTGTAGAAATGTATAATTTTAGAAGATGATTTACAGTTGGTAGATTGCACTGTAAATTTAAAAAGTATGCAATTGCTAACAATTTATGTTATTTTCCTTTGTTGCTTATTTCTGTTACACAGGGGACACAGTCCCTTCTGAGACATTTCATTGTTTGCTTTGAGGACAGTGTTACCAGTGTCCCTTGTTTGACAGCATTTGCCACTGCCATTGCTGCCACATGTGATAGAATAGCATGCTTCAGTCCTCTCTGTCAAGCATTACAGGGATCAGCTAAAATGTACATGTATGCAGAAAACGCACACAGGGTGCGTAGGTTGTGGAGGCCCGCTGCAGGTGTGGTGCTTGGGTTGTGGAGGCTGCTGCAGGCGTGGCTGGTGTTCTTCCCTTTGTTTCTGCAGTTTTGTGTGTCTTTTTGGATCGGAAAGACTGAACATAAAACTCTGTGGGACTGGTAGTGGATGCCTGTAGTTCTGGTGCTTGGAAGGTGCAGGAAGGAGGACTGTAGTGTTCAGGACCATCCTTGGCTGCTACACAGTGAGTGTGTGGCCACCTGAGCTACATGAGAGCCTAAAAATACGTCTAAGAGGCTCACTGGTTCAGAGCACTTGGTAGTCTTCCAGAGGAACAGAATTGGCTCAAAACTGCCTGTAGTTCCCATGCTAAAGGGTCTAGCACCCT